AAGTAGGGACCAAGTCATGGGTGGGTGTTGTATGGTGAATATATTTATAACCTGGGAGGAGAATAATAAAGGCATTGAGGACATCTTAAGAAAATTAGCTCTTGCATTCCCACTGGTAGTCCTATTTCATAACCTGATATTTTGTTTTAATTTGCAATCTTAAAAGTCCCCTAAATTTAGGGATTATGGGCTCTCTAACTGATAGCTCTCCTGTGCAGGTAAACACAGCACAAGCCACATACAGGCCAGGAAGTCCATTAGCTTTATGGATCTCTACTCCTGCAAACCTCACTCAACGTGACCATAACTATTGCAGATAGGAGCAAGGCCCAAAGCTGACGCTCAGTGTTTGCCCAGTATATTTCAGCTCGGCAGTCTTGCAAAGGAGCTGGAATGCAGAGTTGTTAACTGTATTTGACAGAGCTCAGCAGATTTTCTTGTCTTTTGACTAATTTATACAAAGATACCACGAAGTCATCCAGGTTGGTCTTACTTTGAACTATATGACTGAGGTAGGAAAATTGCAATTATTAATAAATTACCATTCATTTGTTCTTTCAGAATATGACCATTCACTTGATGAAAGATGGCTATGGAGAGGCCTTGAATAACTAACTGTCTCAATGTCGTAAATCAGATTTAAGTCACCAAAATTCTATTTACAAACATTGGGGGGCAGTGGGGAGACAGAGCTATTATGCAAAGCAAGGCACACCTGTAGCTTTAAGAGAATTCCCACAAGTTCGCTGGCTGCTTTCTTGCTGGGAAGAACATCAGCACCCCTGCTTTTGCTAGCCCTTCTCCCTGCCCCACACACCTTGCTTGGGCCTTGCTTATGAGTTTTATGATCCCTGATCCAGGTATTCCTTGTTTTTGTCAGGTGTTAAGTGTATCAGGCCTCATTCTGTGGCAAATGACAGAAAACCCAAAACATAGGGAATTGAGGTAACAATGGGAATTTTCCAGGTCACAAAAAGGAAAGCTGCTGGGAAGGGGCTGGTTTCAGGGGTGGCTGGATGCAGGGCTTAACACAAGCAGGCTCATTTCTCCATTTCCGCTCTGCTTTCTGCTGTGTGGGCATCATGCCCAGCCCTCCTTGGTGGCCTCTGCCAGTTCTCATCTCTGTGCTCCTGGCGTGGGCCTGGGGACCGGACCACAGCTGTCCCGCTACTCAACCACTCCACTGGTGTCTATTTAAAAAGAAAACACAAACTTCACTCTGATTGGACCAGCTTAGGTCACATGCCCATTCCCGAACCAATTACAGTATTCAGTAGAGCTAGGATACGTTGATTTGGCTGGGACCTGAAGCAGGAGCCCCACCCTGATGTCCTCCGGGTTAGGGAGCAAAAGCAGGGTCTCCTGCTAGGATAAGGGCTTGACCCGCGAGGACAAACAGATGTTGCCATGTTGACTTCCTCCCTCTGTTGGAAAGACCAGAAGACGTGTAAGATGTTGGGGGTGGGGAGGTGGTTAGGGAGAACAGCACCCCGGGTCTTTAAAAGAATGCTTTGAAGGCAATGCTGGAGGAGGTGAAGACAGCCCAGCTGGCTTCTCCATGGCCAAGGACCAATAGTTCATGGCAGAATGGCCATGTAGTTCAGATTCTTCTCCATTTCTCTTATTCAGGAATCACCTCTTCCACCTCTAAGGGCACACCTCTGAACCCACTTTCCCTGGAGTCTTTGAAGGCTCATTCACCCTGAGGTGTCCACTGCTGAGAAGGCTGCTCTGTCTCCTCCAGGAGAGAGATGCCTGACCTCAGCAGTGGAGAAAACTGTTTAGGGAGGGGAAGGAAACCTCCTGGTTGAACCCCTGGCAGGCTTTCCCCCGGAGTTAAGAAAAGCTCGTGCTGCGTGGTGATGACCTTCGGGGCCACTTGAAATTGAGAAGCAGGGACGCTCCGTGAGAATCCAGATGGGGGCCATGAAAGTGTCCAAACCAACTTCCCACTGAACAGATGGTCCTCTACAGATCTCTTAGCATCTTCCTTCTGCTTGAAGAGGGTGGACCTGAAGGAGACTATTCCCACTGACGCTCTGTGATCATAGGACTTTACACATCATTGGAGGGTATCTTTATATGGTGGGGAAACCGAGGTCTGGGGCCAGAGGACTTGGTTCTGGTCTACGCCTCCACTCCCGAGCCCAAGCAGCCCCACTGGATGCTTTTGCCTATGCTTCAGTCTTTGGGTTGCCGGCAATGGCCATGCCAATGGCTAGTTTTTTAACCTATTGATATCACAAGAAAAGTTACGAGGAAGAGAATAGCATGGGTGGGTGGGGGGGAGAAAGGTAATATAGAAACAAAACCAAAACAAGTACTGCCGCCACAGGAAGCACAATTCTAAAGCAGTCGTTGGGTAAAATTTTATGAATCAGTCCCTTTTGATCATTTAAAGACAGAGGTCAGAACCAATCTATTTGGTGTGAGAAGTATTACTTTCAAAGGAGGCATGCACAGAGGTGCTGATATAATCCAACATGGTAGAGCTTGGCTCAGAGCCCTTGCTTCTGAGCTGGTAGAGGGGTCACTAAAAAACTTGACTTTTATCCATGACCACCATCCAACTAACTTGCCAGCCCAGGCTCACCCCAATGACTTCCATCCTTTTCAAGAAGGCAGAAAGCAGGTGTCATCTTGGAGAAGACGCGGCAGAGTGGAAAGCCCGGGACAGAATACCCTGGGGGAGGGGAGGGCGGTGGCAGGAGTGGCTGTCCAGCGAGAGGGCTGTGAGGATTGGTGATTGCCAAACTCCTGGGTGCAGGCTGGGGCCCTGGGGGGTCTCTGCTTGAATTCCAACCACAGGGGTCCGGTCCTGGCCAGGCCAGTCCGTGACACTGAGAAGTACTCCAGAGTCTGAGAAGAAGGAGAGGGAGTCAGTGAGGAGAAGCCTTCCGGGCAGCACCGGAGCTAGAGGATAAGGATGGAGAGGCCCAGAAATTCTGGAGAAGGGGGTAAGGAACAAAGAGCCACAGGCTGCGGAAGTGGCCACTAAACTCTATGGGGGAACTCCTCTGCTTTAGGTAGGCGTCAGGTTTCGGTCTCTGCAAGATTCCAAGCCTTTGGTCAGTGGCCAGCGCCCCTTGCATCTCACCTTGACTCCCACCCCCAAGGAGCTCTGTTGCCCAGGAAGGTCTGTATCACCCCAAGGCAGCCAGCACGTGTCCTCCGGGAACGCAGAGCGCACGGGCGCCGACAGGGGGCGCCGGCGAACCCCCCCGCTGGAATCCTCCGCCAGGCTCAGGCCAACGGGCGCGGCCTCCAGGTGGTGGGCGGTCGTTGCCGGGTCGGCTCAGGCCAGCTGAGCCGCACAAAATCTCTGTGGCCTCGAGCGGCGGTGCGCACCAGCCGAGGTCCCCCAGGTCGCCTGGAGCGCGGCCCTCCTGAGAAGCATGGCCTTGGAGGGCCGCGGGCACCTCGGGCCTGGAAGATGCGCCCTGGCCAGGAGGCCAGCCCTCGAGCCCAAACCCATGGGCATTGCTACGTGCCCGAGGACAGTGCCAGGACCTCAGGCTCGGCTCCCTCCCTCCCATGGCCCTTGCGGGGCTGGCGGCTCGAGGGTTAAAAGACGACTGCCACCCCCATTCTCTTGGGGAGAAAGTGCCTTTTCTCCAAGTCCATATGGCCACTTCCTTTCGACCTGCTCGGCCCTGCTCGCCTCTTTGTCCGAGCTGTCACTTATAAAGAATCACTTGACTTACAATAACAGGTTCAAAAGACGACAGAGTATAATCAGTTGATCCACGAAGAATTGAAATAAAGAACACCCCACTGCTCTGGCTATCATTCCCATAGAGATAGTGATATCATTGATGTGATTGCGATGCTAATTTCTATACAAGAAAAAAAAAAACCCTTGTATTTTGGAATTTGTTCAAAGAGAATTTCAGACACATCGGATTGGAAAATGCGAACTGAATTCCTAAACTTTTGGGGGGTAGGCAGGGGATTTTTTTATTTTTAACACCATTACAAAGATTTGAGTGGACTTTAAGAATCTCATAGAACTAACTAGCTGGTTGGGGGAAACGCCGTTTTCTCCCTCCCCAAAATCCTGGGCTGAGAGATAGAGACAGATAGATGATAGACAGATAAGGATCGAGAACGCCCTGGGTTTTTAGGACAGAGACCTAGGGTGCAGGCAGCGGTGACCAGGCCGGGCGCCCACCAACGTCAGGCCTGGGGAGCCGGATCACAGGCAGAGAAGTGCCAAGGCCAGGTGCCAGGGGCAGCAGGGTCCCGTCTGTACCAGAGCCTCTAGTCCAGCCACTGCCTGACTGTTCCTCTTGGCGCGGAGTTTTCTGTACCTAACCCCACTCTTTCACTGGTTCTCTGCTACTGCCAGTCTCCTTCCACAGGATGGAGTGGGGGGCGTGGGGGGGAGTGGGGAGTGGGGAGGCTGTGCCCTGCTTTTTCTTTATCTTTGCTTTTTATGTATTGTGGTGCCCTGGTTTAAAACCCACCAGTCATCTTAGGGGAACTCAGATCAGGCAGGCTAGAACAAGTCTTACCTGAATCAATGTTTTAAGTGTCCCTGTGGCTTGGCGTTTGAATAATCAATCTGTCTCCAACGCTTCTTAATCATGCACAACACAGGCCTTTCTCTCTCACTCTCTCTTTCTCTCTCTCTCTCTCTCCCCCCTCCCTTCCTCCCTCCCTCTCTCCTCCATTATTTGTCAACTCTTTTGGATCCTGTCTTTCTGCTATTAACATGCCCCAATGTCACATGTGAGTCTTTTCTTTAAAACAAGCTCCTCATTGGTGTATCTGGATACTTCTTTTATTATTATTACTGAATCTTTTTTTCCCATAATGACACCAGGATCATTATATAATCCCATAACAAAGAGGCTTTTGAGGCACCAGCTTTTGTCAACTCTAGGACAGAGAATCCATAATTGCATTATTCAGCTTTTTCCCCCCTTCTTTCCCCCTCTTCCTTGCTTCACAGAATCCCAACCTCCAGCATCACTCACATCTCCACCTTGTTACCTCGCCTTACATTATTTACCAAAGCGTTTGCCTTGAGGACCAGCATTTGCAAAGTTGCCTTAAAAAAGTTATTTTGTTTGATAATTAAGTCCTGGAGCCCACCGCGTGATGATTATTCTGGACCCATAAGGCAGAGAACCTGCGTGACGTTTTTCTCGAAGTTTAATTACCGTATGCTAATTTCCTTGCCTACTACGTGATTAATTAAAATCATATTTTCATAATCATTTGGCACTAGTATTGTTTTAGAATTATCATGATCTTCTAAATAGTGTCTGTAAATAAAGTCGCCTCTAATGGCAGGCGCGGGAGGCGAGGCTGAGGACCTCTTCGTGTTTGTATCGCGGCGATTGGCAACATAACTGCCTTATTTACATTAAATACGCCACAAGGTTACAGCGCGGATCAACGTCATTTGATCGCTGATGACTCCCTTAAACGCCCGGGCTGTGACTGATTCTCCGCGTCCCGCTGTCCACCGAGATTCACCCGGGAGTTTTTTTTTTTTTTTTTTTTTTTTTTTTCCCCCAGAAAAGAAACAGACTTTAAATAGTTTCAGGAGCAGGTAAGAATTAAGCTTTTTCCTCTCCCCCTTTCCATCTCTCTCTCCTCTCCCTCTGTGGCAATCTCTCTCTCCCTCTCGGCTGGATAAAAAATTCTTTAGTCAAAGGCAGGAATGCAAAGTAGTGACAAGCGAAGGGGCTGATATATGTCTCAGTAACGAGTCTGACAATCAGAATGTAGCTCTTGGAGAATAGATAGATTTTAATAAGTGTGTTTACATGAGCTCAAGGTCAGAAGCAAGCTGCGCTGTGTTAAATGGTTTCTTAGTTGCTAGACAGAGAGAAAAAATGGACGATCACACACCATTCTTTGTAGATTATTATATCAAGGGTTCAGTCTCTGGCTCATCAAAGCTAAATGCCGCAAGACCTATCTAGTTGCTGTGAATTATGCCAGGGCGACAATGGAGAGCGTTTTTAATGGTACAATGCATTTCACCTACCAGATAGGGGGAGGCCGAGCCGGGGATGGGGATGTCTGCTGGGGCTGGGTGATGAGTATCAATGAACGGGGCGATTCTGAAAAGAGGCAGATGAAAATCGAGCCCGCCCTGCCCCGGCTGGGCTGGGAACAGTTCACAGGGCTCTGCCGAGTGGGCGAGCGAGGCGCGCGAGCAGGGCGCCCGTCCCCCCTCAGCCCCGGAAAATGATCAAGTCAATCATGTGGACATGTTTCATTATTCATTGAACACAATCTTTTACAACGCTCCGTTTACGTGCCCGAGTTTGCTCCCGACGCCCGCGTTTCAATGTTTAAGGTAAGGAAAACAAAGGTGGGGGGGGGGATCGCGGGGCGCGGCGCGGTGGGGGTGGGGGCGGGGGGGGCGCGGCGGGTCGGGGGGCGCCGGCGTCCGGGAGGTGGCAAAGTGAGTTTGGACTCTTGGCGTTGCCCCCCCCCGTCCCCTCCCCCTCCCCATCTCGGCGAGGCCTGCCGCCGGGCTCCTTCTCGCCCCATCGCGATTAAAAAATACGGTCTAATTAAATATCCGTGGCTGTGACGTTGGCGAGAGAAGCTGTCAGCGGGGGGAAAAAAGAGGAAGAAACCGAGAAAGCGGCGGCGGCCGGGCATCGAATGGCGCTAGAGAACTTCGGCGGCGAGCGGGACCCGCGCCTGGGCCGCCGCCTCCCCCGCCCGCGGTCCCGGGACCGTTACTTTGAAAAGGAGTCGCCGGGCCGCGAGCCGCGGGCGCGAGCCGGACCCCGCGCCCAGCTCCGGGCCCAGCCCGCGCCCCCCACCCGCGCGCGGCCCGCGCTCCGCTCTCAGGCCCCGGGAAACTTTCAAAAGGGTCTGGGGGGTGGGGGGAGTCGTCTGGATAGGGGGAGGCTGGAGCCGCGGAAACTTCTGCTCAAGTGACTTTCCCCATTTTCTCCTCTGCCTGAGACTCGGGCGCTCCTCGCTCCCTTTCTCCCTTCGCCGCTCGCTGCGGGATTCCGGCCCCGCCGCCGGGGGGAGAGAGGCTAATTTGTAATCATTTTTTTTTTTTTTTCTTAATCAAAGTTAGCTGATGCTTACAGTGTGTCAAACTTGCGGGCGCCAAGGGCCTCTGAGACCTGCCATTTTGTGTTTTCATTGGCCTCCTGTGGCCCGGGAGCCGGGCGAGGCCGAGGCCGGGGGCTCCGCAGGGCCGGGGTGCCAGGGTCCGAACCCGCGACCCCAGAAAAAGGCCGTGATGCCTGCAAGCGCAGGCGGCGTCCGCAGCACCTTCCCCGGCCCAGCCCAGGCCCTGGGGCCAAGCCGGGGGCCAAAGATACAAATAAAGAAAGAAATAAGTTAACAGGTTTATGGAGGGAACTGAGCCGGCCAGCCCTGGGCTGGAGAAATGAGGCCAGTCGGAGTGAGGGAGTGCAGGCGTGGGGGCTCTGAAGGCGGGGGAAATGCAGGGCTGGGGGCGTTTGGGAAGAGTGCAGTTTGGGGGAACTGATCCACTAGCCCAGATGTATGGCTGGGGCGGGGGTGGGGGGGGGAGAATGATCTTTGCTGATAAACCTTTTCTGTTTGCTTCAAGACATTATTTTTTGAAGATCAAGAATTGAGGAAAACAGTCGTAGGCGGGACCGGGATGTATTTTAGGCAAAAAAAAAAAAAAAAAAAAAAAAAAAGGGGGTGGGGGGGGGGAGCTTTTCTTTGATGATGAGTAGGAAAGTGTCCAGATCTCGACGCGCCCATCTGTTGCAGTTTTGCAAATAATTTAAAATATAGATATCCCTATATAGATGGGTGTACGTGAAGCGGAAGGTGGAAACGCAGGCGCCGGAGAAGTTAGAAAGAAAGAAAAGGGGATGCGGGGCAGAGAGAGATCTGTCCCCACCCCCTCTCTTCTTAACTCTTCTGAGGAAACTCCAAGAGGGCTTTCTTTGGGGACAGGTGGAAAGTTGCCCCCCCTCCTTCACTTCAGTATTGTGAGCGTTCCTACTGTCCGCCTCTTGGCGAACGTGGACACAGCCCCCGATCATTTGGGGGGTTGGGTAGGGGCGGCGGGGCAGTGGCGAGGAGCAGGGGGCCGAGGAGGGGCAGGGCGGGGTCCCAGCCCCGCGCGCCGGTCGCAGCCGAGGCTGGGTTTTGTTTGCCTGATATTGTTATGTCTAACGAGTGCCTCACAGGAGACGTGATTTGTCAGCCGCCTTCGTTTTCACTTTAGCAGAAAATACGGCGGCTGCGCGGCGTCCTGGCCTGCGGGGCTGGACGCCGGGTGCGTGCGGGGGCGCGGGTGGGGGCGCCGGTGCGCGCGCGGGTGGGAGCGGGCGGCCGGCCCGGCACCGGCCAGGGGCAGTGGGCCGGGCGGGGTGAGTGCGCGCGCGGTGCCGGCCTCCCGCTCCTCCTGCGCCTTCTCCCGGCAGTCGCCGCCGCCGCCGCCGTGCAGTTTAGCAGAAATCCGACAGGGGCCGCGTTTGCTGAGCGCATCCGGCCGCCGGGCAGCCCGAGCGGGCCGCCGGGCCCGGCTGGCCGGTGTAGACGCGAGGAGGGGGTCGGGGCGGGGGTGGTGGGGGGAGCGGGCAGGCGGGGAGGGGCACGGTCTGAGCTTGGTCTGAGCGCTCGCCGCCCCCTGGTCTCCGGTGTCCGGGGTGTCTCCGGCGAGTTGGGCAGCCCCTGGAGCCCTGGCCTTGGCGCCCCCGCCCCCAGCCAGGGCTTAGGTGAACTTGGGGTGGGGTGAGCGTGCGTGCGTGCGTGTGTGGGTATGGGGGGGGGTGCAGACTGGGAACGCACTGTTTTCTTTCCCCGTTTGATATTAGCAACTGGGTTTTTACTTTAAGACCGGCTTTGCTCACTGCTGGGGTTGGGAGGGGGCGATCTTTTCCCATCACTCACATCTTTGTTCATTGTTCACTGAGTGGAAGGCAGGCGACTTAAAGAGACGAAAGAGGAAAAACGGGGGGGAGGGAGGGAAAGAGGAAAAAGAGGGGGAGCAAGAAGAGGGAAGGACGAGAGGCGTGGGGAAAAGCGCCCCCGCCCTCGGCCGGGTCGGGCTGGACGGTGAAACAGTAAACCCGCGCACGGAGGGTCGCCGGGAAAGTGGACATTACCGCTTTAATTAACTTCGAGATGCTCCGGCGGCGGGACCTGGCGTAGCCGTGACGCGCCCGCATAAATCTGCCCGGCCCGGGGCTGCTCCGAGAACTCGTACAGTAGCCGCGTCAGATCCAGAGCGCGCCTCCCAGTCCGGAGCCCATTTGCATAATTGGATCTTTTTTTTCCCCCCCTCCTTCTTCCTCCCTGAAACTTGTTTGAAAACCCAAGTGAACACCGCGACGACCTGCACGCTCCAAAGCGAGTGCCAAGTAAGTGCCCTGCCGTGGCCTCGGCGCGCCCCGGGGTTAGCGCGCAAAGCCGGCGGGTGAGGTGCCGGGAGCCGCGCGCTGCCGGCGGGCCTGGGCGGCGGGAGGCTCGCCGGCGGGAGGACTGACTGCGGCCGCGGGCTCCGGAGCTCCCGGCTGGCAGCTCGCAGAACTTTTTCTTCTCTGTCTCCCGACTTCTCGGGCCAGGTGAGATGTTTGGGCCACGCATGTACCTGTAGCGAGACTCCGGAGGCGACCTCTGGGGCGCGGCGGAGTTGGGCATCTCGGGTCCCGGGCTAGTAGTCGGTCCCCGCCGCCGCCGTGGAGGGCAGAGCTGCGAGCGAGCGAGCGAGCGAGCGAGCGGGGCCGGCTGCTCTTCGCGCCGCGGATGCAGCTCGTTCGCCAAATGCCTCCCCCATTATTCTAAGGTTTGTGATTCTGGCTGTGTGTATGTGTCTCTGTGTGTATGTGATCGGCTGTGCTTTAAAAAGAAAACCAGCCAAAACAAGAGCAGGAAGGGCTTCTCCCTTCGTTTGCCCCCCACCATCTCCCCAGCATCGTTTATTTCTGCTGCTCAGAGGAGAGAGTGCAGAGCTTTCCTGCTAGACAGGGTCACCGAGAGATTGACAGTTCTGTTGGAAATGCCATAAATGCTAGAGCCAAAATGGAGCTGCGTTAATAAAATACCAACCCTTGCCTGTCGAGGAAAGTGGTTTTATAGTATTTTAAATTTTATGAAAAATACATATTATTAGTTTTATTTACAGTGTTCAGAACCTGGGGGGAAAGTCCAATAGCTGGGAAGAAAACTGTAACCCTAGTTCCTGTTTGCCTAGGAAGTTGCTGGGGGCTGGGCCCGCCACCCTGCCTGGAACGGGTAGGGACTCAGCTTGCAGCCTGGGGAGTCACAGGGGGGCGCCCCTGGCAGCCCTCTGGCCTCTGCTTGAGGAGAGCCTAGGGCTTCTGGCTGAAGGCTGCTTTAGTTATGATGTCATTCTGATAGCAGAGTGCAAATGTCTCCTGATTCCACCATTAACCGCCTGGCTGATTTGCTTGGTAATGATAGCACTGACGTCCAGCGCCTTGACAAATGCAGGCCTGCAGAGCCCTAGGAATTAACTTTTCCCCCCACTGAGGAGGGATCGAGCTGCCAGAAGTCTCACCACTGGGCCCCTGCCTTCGAACTTTGTCCTGTCTCAGTCCAGACACTGACATGGACGATGGGCCCCTGGACCCAGAGACCCCTGTTGTCTTATAGTTTGGGAAACTTTTAGAAGGCTTTCATTTCTGGAACTCCTCTCGTCTGGCAAAACTTGAGTCCAGTTGTGACCAGGATCTGATGGATGGTGGGGACCCCAGGTAGCTCTGGGGCCACTGCATGGAAGAGGGGATTGTGACATCTGCTTCCTACCTTCAGTCCCTTAACTGTGACTCGATGTTAATATCACTGCAAGTAAACCGGATTTAGTGTGGATTTTTAAATAGTGTACAATGATTTAAGATTTCTTTTGATTTACTGTTCAAATGAAATTTGCATAAATGTGATGAAAATGAACTTAACATCTGGGCATATGAAAAAAGGTTAGTACCTCATATGTCATCTGCAGAGAAAGTCTCTAAAACGCTTTCACCCTAAACTGGGTTCAGGGAGACAGTTCCTGGAGACATAAATGCTAATTATGGAAAACCTGGAGAAAGCGCTTTCGATAAATTTGCATTCTCTTGGACCACTGCTCTGAAAACCCATCTTGTTCTGTGCCTGGAGTGCTTAACTTCTGAGCAGGCTAGACATTCTCAGCACTCAGCAAGTTAACTGCTGGCTGGGGCTATCTTCACGGAAGACTTGGGGCAGGCAGGGAGCGACAGTCACACTGCTCTGATCCGGGCCGAGCCGGAGGCCAGTAACTCCTATGACGGGAGGGGACAGGGAGGTGGCTGGATGTGCAGCCCTACGAACCAGAGTTACCCTTGGGGTCCGAAAGGC